TTTTTTTTTTTAATGCTCAAATCTTAAATAATAAACTTGTCAATTTTACAAAAGTCTTAAAGTAGTTACTTAAAAATAACAGACTTTTGGGCTGGGGATTTAGCTCACTGGTTCCCCGCCTGCCTCCCAAGCACAAGGACCTGAGTTCAATCCCTGGTACCAAAAAGAAAAAACAGACTTTCTGTGGGCCAAGGATGTAACTTAGTGGTGCTGTGCCTACCTGGCAAGCACAAGGTCCTGAGTTTAATCACCAGTACAAAAAAATAAAACCCAAAATAAAAAAGCCCAGACTTTTAAAAAATAAGATATTCTAAAGAATTGCTGTACTTCTACATTTTTATCAATATGGCTCTCCAGTTTCAGTTTTAGGTGCCTGCTATTATATTCATAACATGTAAAATCTGGTATGTAGTATTTATTATATGCTATTCACCATGCTAGGGAAATAATCATGGCAATACTATGCATCCTTTACCTTTTTTTTATATATACAGGGATTGAACTCAGGACCTTGCCCTTGCAAAGTAGGCAGCAGCACCACTGAGCTAAATCCCCAGCCCATGGCAATTCTATGAAAGCTACTGATTCCTGCTCCCAGAGGTGGCAGAGAGAAAGATTAGTATAAGTCCTGTGTGGTCAGGGCAGTGTCTGTTTCATACACAGCTATACTCGCAGAAGCCCAGTAGATACATGCTTGAGTGAACAAACAGATGAAGAATATATAGGGGCTAACACTGTATTCATAAACAGACGGACAAGGTGAGGATTGGGGGCCATCTCTCTACTGCAGTAAATACACAGGTGAGACACAGACGCATCACCTGCTTCACAGATAAAGTAATTTGGGGAGCCAAGGGTGTTTTTGATGGATAGGTACACCTGTGTTCTCACTTAAGGATTGAAAAATTGAGATCATTATGATTTGCTACCCATCAAAGCTTCCCACTCAGAAGAACACAGTTTTAAAAGGAATGCATTTATCCCATCTCAGCTTTTTGGTGTATCTTTTTTTCCCTTAAAGCATAATGAGCTTGTCAGAGTTTCCATGGTGAACACAGGGCACCATGGAAACTGATAGATTTAGCTACACTAAAAGAATAAATAAAATAGGCAGGCATTTATTTCACTCTCCTAGGTAGGAGAGGAAAAGTGGGTTTTATTTAACTTGCTTCCCCTTCACTCTCTGTGCCCCATGCAAACAGGAATTATTCTCACTGGACTGACTTCTGACCAATACTGGCTAGACTGCTGTTCTCCTCAAGGCCCATTACCTCACCTTGCTCTCATCTGGGGCAAGAGCTGTGTGTGTCATCAGCAGTGTTAGAAAACCACATACAGTGTGAAGGGGATAGATGGCTGAACCCATGGTGCAGGAATGCGTGGGGCCTGGCAGAATTGATCAGCTGATTCCCTGCAGTCTGTCAAGGTGAGACGGTGTGTGAGGACAACTAGTGGCCAGACCCAGGTCTGACCCGTACTAAGTGGATAGGCAAGCCAACCTCCCTGACCTCAGTCTCCTCATCTGTGAAATGGCTAATTTGCGGGTAGCACTTGGGTCCATTTGAAGCAGGGAGAATTGTAATCTTAAGAAACAAAGCATTTCAGCTTTTCTGTATGTTGAAAATTTTTATTATAAAATGTTGGAGAATAAATAAATAAAGCTCTTTTTAAATTTCTAGTTCCAATGAGTTACTCATCCTTAGCATACACCCAGCATGTAATCTTTTAGTTTTTTTTTTTTTGGTACCAGGGATCAAACTTGGGTCCTTGCGCTTGCAAGGCAGGCGACGGAACCACTGAGCTAAATCCCTGGCCCCCATCTTTTAGTTTTTAATCACTAAAATATAAGCACAACCATCTTTTGAAATTCAACGTTCTACTCAGAACATCCTATAGATAAGTAAGATTGGGTAAAGAAGATAAACAACAGAAAGGAAGGAAGAGAGAGGGTATAGTTTTCCTGGAGAACACAATCTTCTAGGAGACAGACGAGTAAAGAGAAACAACATCATCCCAGGCTCCCAAAGGAGGAAGACTAACATCTGAGAGAGCAGAGGTGTGAAGGCTTCCTGCCGAAGTGGTGGGATGGGGCTTGTGAGCATCTCCCCTGAAACTTTTTCTTTTCTTCTGTGGTACTGGGGATAGAACCCTGGGATTTCTCACCAAGCAATATACCCAGCCTTTTTTATTTTTTATTTTGAGACAGGGTCTCACTAATATACTGAGTTGCCCTGGCTGGGCTTGAAGTTTCCATCCTCCTGCCTCAGCCTTTCACAATGAGTGAGACTTTTAGAGGTAGGGTGAGGGTAGAAAAGGAAGCAGGCATGGCGTTAGATGGTCAAAGGGCATGACATGCTAAGGGAAAGGCACAAACAAAGCAGATATGTGCGTGTGGTAGGGAGAGGGGAAGGGGAATGAATCTGAGGACGCAGCCAGTGGCTACTTCGGGATGGTTCTTGCCAAGGGGGAAGTCTTTCTTCTAAAGGAAGTGACCCAATGAGATGCTCAGGCTGTTTACTGAAGGTGAATATGAAAGCTCAATACTCCTTTCTTCCTCCAAACCTCAGTAGCTTGGAGAACATTTGCCCAGTGATACCAGGATAGGAGTTAAAATTGTAGGAGGACCAGTAATTTAAAGGAGTCACCAAGTCTGAGGGTGGAGAACCAGGGAGAATAGTGAAGAAACCAAGACTTGTGACATGGAGCTGAGCCAGATGGCCTGACAGAGTGGCGCCTGGGTTACTGGATCCTGAGCCCAGGGGCCCATGACTTGATTGGGAATGGAATGGAAGGGTGGGACTGTGTATTTTTTGAAAGAGCTAACACTCAGCTTTTCGTGTTGCTACAGGTGCTAATGCGAAGTGAGCTGGAGGCCCTGGACATTCCTTCTGTTTAAAAAGATTAAGGCTACATAAGATTATTCTTTCCATGAACCACTTGATAATAACATTAATGAACATGAAACCAAAACTCCCTAACAATTCCATTATCTCAACAATTTCCATTGTTTGATGTACCTTTTCAATTCTAGATACTTACAGCTTTTCACTGTTTAGTCACAGCATAAATACCATTTTAAAAGCTTAACATCATGTATATTTCCCATGTGGCTTTACAGTTACCCTATTTTTAAAAAATAACTGCATAATACACATTTATCTTTTTCTTTTGAGGTAAAGTCATCTTGCCCAGGCTGGCCTCAAATTCCTGGGCTCAAGGGATCCTTCTGCTTCAAGTAGCTGGGATTAGAGGCAGTAATCTTGTATTACCAGCCATAATATCTTGTATTCTGTTTACTTATCTATGTGGTACTGGGGATTGAATCCAGGGCCTCACAGATGCTAGGCAAGTGCTCCACCACTGAGATACATCCCCAGCCCAATATAATGTATTCTAAATCACAAAACTACTCACAGTTGTTGAATATTTAGGCTGCTCTCATTAGCTGTGTCTTTTAAGGAAACTGATACACGCTGCTGGAATGTTTAATTGAACCCTCTGAGTTGAAAAGCAGACATTTTTCTCCCCTTTCTCCCGAGATTTACGTGTGTTTACAGGCCAACAGGAAAATGTTTTCAGTGTGCAGACTGTTGGGTCAGCAAGGAGGGAGCCTGGTCTGCAGGATCAAGAAAGTTAACAGGGAGAGGCTATGGAAGCCTGTATGAAACAATTGTAATGGCTTCAGCTTCAGGGATTCTTAATTCTGCATTCACGGAAGAGTAACGGATCATCTCCATGGTCCTGGTACCAAAGGATCTCCTGGCACTTGAGACCTTAGGGCTGAAACAAGAAAAAAATCCCTTTGTAAACAAGGATGAGTTAGTCACCTTGGTGTGGAGGAGATGAAGAAACTGAAGGGATGAATCATTTGTATAAGCCAGCTCTGCGTCACCAAACAGCAATTCAGAGAAAGCCTGCTCCAACACTACCATGAAACCCTCATGCTTTATGTAGGAGTCCAAGTACATATTTATCTCAGGTTGTTGCTCTGCTCACAGAAAAAACATTCGTTCATCTACTTATTTACTCAGTAAATATGTATGGGACACGGGCACTGTTCCAGACATAAGAGTCTCTGCTCTTGTGGTGCTTCTGTTACTGAGGAGTGTATGGGGCGGGAGGGGGTGGGTATGTGTGGAATAAATGAAAAGACATAAAATAAATAGGAAGAATATGAAGAGTGCGGTGGTGAAAAGGATGGAATAAAAACTGCAGGGGAAGTTGGGTGGAAGAGGCACTGCTAACTCGTTCGCCAGGGAAGGTTACCCCAAACAGCTGACACTGGAGACAAACCAGGGATAAGAACAGTTACATCAAGATTCTCTAGAAGCATGAGAGGCAGAAGGAATCAGATATTTGAAGGCCCTGAAGGGAATAAGTTGGCCCTTCTCCAAGGAGCTGTCTCAAGGAGCCAGGGACTCCTGTCTCAGGAAGGAATGGCAATATTTGAGGCTTCACAACAATCGAAGGAAGCTCCATCTCCACAAGAGAGCAGATCAGGAACAGAGAGCCTCTTTTTTTTTTTTTTTAATTCATGTATGTTTGTGATATGTAATGAATACTCCAGTGTGGGGAAGTGTTACATACACATATTGCATCTTGATCTTTTTTACTTCCCTTCCTCTCCTGTCTCCCCATCTCCAGGTCCCCTTCCCATCTTTGCAGAGCCAATGGTCCCCCTCTTTCTTAGCCTCTTGATTCCTCATCCTGCAACCCACTCTACACCACCGCCTATGTGGCTTGAGAAATTTTCTCCCTGTGTACAACTAGAAGTAAACAAGGGCATTTATTTTATACATGAGAAAAATTAGTATTGGATTTGTTTGTGGACGGACACAGGAACCAAAACATTGGCTTCAAGGGAAGAGAGGAACTCTGGGATCCACATGAATGCCCGGAGCAGTTCTGGACAGTTTTGTAAAACAAGTATCCAGGACCTCACTTAAGGACGAAGACACACTCTGCGGCCCCGCAGAAACCGAAAATGAAACTGGTCGTCGGCGAAGCGGCCCCAAAGGACCTTTCACCTGTCTGTAAACTTGCCGAAGTTCATTCAGAACCCGGGGCTGCAAGTTCAGGAAATGCTTGACTCTTTTAAGTGTCTGGGGCAGAGAAGAAGGCAGACATCAGCCCAGGTGTGACGATTAAAGAAAGCAGAGGTTGATTTGACAGCCCGAAGAGTTAACAAATCCAGAACCAACGCAGGAATGGGGAGTAAACCACACCCCACCGGGGCGCGGAGCCCACTTGCTGGAGGAAAATCCTATTGGCATTGGGGAGGCAAGGAGCCACCCCTGGGCGCGGCCTCCAGGGGGCAGGCGATCGCCCGGGGAAGCGGGCACTGGGCGAGGCCGAGCCGGAGTCCTCCGCAGCTGCCCGCCGCGCAGGGCCCGCGCACCTCGCCGTGCGCCTCTGGACTCGCGCCCCGCGCCGACCTGTGCGCCGCCGGAATGCCGCCCCTGGCTCACATCTTCCGAGGGACTTTCGTCCACTCCACCTCAATCTCCCCCATGGAGGTGCTTCGAGATCACCTCCTTGGCGTGAGCGACAGCGGCAAAGTAAGTGGGCGCGGGGTCTGGTGGCTGGGACCCGGTCCGGGGCGCTGCGGAGTCCCGGGTTCTCTCCGTGCGGAGCGGGGCGGAGTGGAACTTGATCGTTCGGCTCTAGGGGACCCGGAGAGAATCCTGCCCCTAGGTTGCTGGACCAGCCGGTAGTTTCCCGGAAGAGCCCGGAGCGGTGGAGTACTTGGCCCAGTACTGGTCCGTCAGCCAGCCTTCTGGGCTGCAGGGTCAAGTGGAAAGGCGAGGATATGCTCCCAGATCTAGAGATTGCCAATGAACCAGAACAGTTTCATTCGTCTTTATACCTCTGGAGCCTGGCACAGTGCCTGGCACAGAACAGGCGCTCCGTAAATTTGGTAGAATTTTTTTGTGTGTGTGAAAACAGTAACAGAGGAGGGATCATTGGATCAGTGTTGCTTAGTCTGTTCAGTATACAGAATAAGCAAAGAATCTGATTCCATTCACCTGGTCATTCAGCAGGGACAATACACTAACTAGTAAGGCTAACTGACTAGTAACAGTGGTCCAGAGAAATTCATATTCTCTCACACACATACAGCCATTTGCATCAAAGCAACCAGTTCCATTTTTAAGGTTCAAAATGCCTTCTATGAGCATATCTTCTATACTTTTTTTTCTAAAAATGAAGACTTTTACAAATGACGAAAGTAACTTGATATCTAATATTTACTGTTCTGTAAACACAGATGATGACTGTATTCAGTAGTGGCCCTGACCAGTTTAATAAGTGAAGCTATTCCATTTGGGGAAGAAAAACAAATCTGAGAATGGAATGTTTTTGAGCCGTATCCCAACTCTTAGTTTGGTTAGCAAAATACACAAATTTGCAATTTGTCAGATTGAAGACTATTCTTACCTAAAGCCATGACTGAGTCAGTCTGACAATTTTGAATTGTGATTCTTCTCTTCCATTTGTGGAGAAAAAAGAAACCCTGTTTATATGGTGCTTTAAAAATAATCTCTGTGCATATTTGGGAAGCCTGCTGTTGTGTTTCCAAGGTGATACAACTCTCAGTGCTCACCCAGTGCTGTAATTCTAGTAGGTCCTAAGATGGGCATCCTCGCATGGGGTGACATAGCCCTCAAGTTTCAGAGGGCTCAAATTTGGGGCAAGTCCCAGGAAACCACAGTACAGAGACTGCTAAGCTGGTGAAAGATTGGAGGTGGCAGTCTAGTGACAAGGAACTGATCAACTCTCAGATTCCTTTTAAAAAATTAATTTCTCATGTCCAGGATTCTAATGGGTAGGGAAGTAGGCAAGAGTAGGAAGGGAGGATTTGGGGACTGGCTTTTTAACAGTGGCTCAAAGAATAAGAAAAGGAACTAAATTATCTTAAAAATTACCTTTCCTGGGGTTTATGCAGAAGAGAAATAAGAAATATGCAATTAGTGTTTGAGTCAGGGAGTTTATTCCTAAGGAGCTTACTGAGATTTTCAATTTAGAAAACATGCCATTCCCTCATGAGATAAAATTAACTGCAAAGGTAGGTTAACCAAGTGCTTTAGATTTAAGGTGAAAATCCATAATCAGTGAATTGCTAAAGCTTGCTCCCCTCCCAGGGGCTAGGCAGACAATTTCTGACTGTGTTTAAGGGAAATGGCATGTTAATGCATTTCAAGAGTTGATTTCCCCTATGTAGAAATAAAGAATATTTCACCTTTGGAATTGCTGGGATAAAGTATTTATTTATTATTTAAAATTTTTTAAGGTTCCAAAAATAATATCCCCTTGAACTAAATAAATATGTGGAATTGCCATTATGTTTACATTTTTACCAAGCTCCTAAAACTGTTCTTGTGGTGAAAGTTGGGATGATTTAGAAACATCTAAAGGTATGTGTTAAAATGCTGATTGCTGGGCACCATCCTCAGAGAATCTCAATTCGTGGGCCTGGAGTGGGCCCTAGGAGGTGACACCCAAACAAGAGTCCCAGGAGATTCAGACCCAAGTAGTGGGAGAATTACACATTAAGTAACTACAGTAGGTAGTTTGTGTGATGGCATGGTTATGTGAGAGGTCAGGAGCTTGGTTCTCTGTTTCAAACCCGGATCTGGGGTAACATCCCAGAGAGAGGGGACACAATTTCCTGTCTTCCTTCTGTCTTCTACTCCTCATCCCTCATTTTTTGTAAATTCATTTAGGCCTGCAGAAAGCTAGTAACTAACTACATTTAGTTCATTAAATTAAAGTTTAATTTAAAAAATTTTGCAGCCAACACTTTGGTATGGGCATTTTGAAGTCATAGTTTTTCTACTTAAGCTTTTTTTTTTAAATAAGGATTTCAACATGTGTGATTCATTTGCATATATTTAATTACTCTTGAGACACTGTGTGCTCAAATATTACTGAGTTCCCTGATTCTTCTCACATAGGCCAAAGTCAGGTTGACTTTAAATTTATATCCAGATGCCTTGGGACTTTGAATGTACACTTACACAGAAGCAAGAGTGAGGAAGAGAATTATTTTGAAAGGAGGGCCCTGGGTGGCAGGAGCAAATGCCATGGAGAGACAGAAACCTGGGTTTAAGTCTGAGTCTTTACCAGTTGCCTGCTCTGAGACCATGGGCAAGACGCCTAACCTCTCTGAGCCTCAGTTTCTTCAACTGTAGAATGAGATTTCCATTCGTTAAATATTATATGACCTGTGATGCATGAAAGTGCCCGGCACTTAGTGCATACTCTTAACCTGTACCCTGCTCATTCCATCCCCTTTTTCCTCTGCTCCTAACAAATCTTTAGCCTCTTCCTCACTGCAGCATTTTTGCACATTTCTTCATTGGTGGTATCAATGAAGGCAAAGTAGTAGAGAAGGAAGCCACGGCCTGGGATAGATGAGCTAGGTGGGAGAAGGAGAGCAGTTGCTAGAGCTCCTGGGACACAAAGATACACCGGAGAAGAAAGATCCAAGGAGCATGTGCAGCTAGCTTTGCTCGCATGTTATTTTCATAACCTTCACAGTGTCATTGTTCCCTCTGACAGATGAAGTTGAGACTTGAGAAATCATGCATCTAAAGATAATGGTGTTATAGCTGGATTTTGAAATATGGACCAAAGGTCATGCTCCTTTTACTACAGCAGACTGCTTCCCTAAGGCTCTTGCTGCAGAGCTTGCCCTTTAGCAAGGCAGCTAGGATTTGTTGCTCTAATAAAACTGGACTGATTCCTGAGCTAAATACTGGGTTCATCATTGAATTTTGATGAGCAAAGTACAAAAACTGCCTCACGGAGGTTGATAATTTAGTGATACACTGACAGAATTTGAATTAGTCTGGGGGTGAAATGAAGGCTTTGCCCAGTGTGAAGTGTCATTTAAGTAAATATCTGAAGGGTGAATAAAAGTTAAGTAGGATAAGGCACACAAGACTCAAAGTAGAGGGAATCTTTCAGGTAGAGGAAACAGTCTATGCAAGGGTCCTGGGGTAGGAAAGAAGGAAAGAGCAAGGTGACTAGAGTCCAGAGATGAGGGGGGCAGATAACACAAGGTAAGGCAAGACAGGTAGGCAGGGCAACATCTGGAGGACATGGGAAGTGAGGGAGGGATTATACTGTGATCATATTTTATCTTTAAAGGTCATCTTAGGGTTAAGATAAAGGATGCATTGAAAGTAAGTTGAGTGCCATTAAGGAAGTCATATTGGATCCTATTGAAGTAGTTTAGATGAAATGGAATGTGATTTAAATGAGAGAGGCAGTATGTCGTGTATCAATGAAGACAAACTCCTAAGAGCACTTCTGTCACTTATTACCTATGTGAATTCGTCAAGTTACTTAACATTTCCAGTTTTAAGTTTTATATGAAATAATTACTGTAGTCTACTTCATGGGGTCATTGAAAGGATTAAGTATATTAAGAAACGTAAAATGTACACAGTGATTCCTGGTGTGTGGCACACATTCTGTGAGCATTAAAGTTATTATCAGCAGTGGAGATGGGGAGAAGTGGACAGAATCAGTACCTATTTAGATCAAGTCAGCTAGCTCCAGTGCTAACTTGTGTATGTAGAGTTAGAAGGCATGAGCATCAAGACAGATGTGTATACATAATGGTACATACCAAGTGTGTGAACATAGTACACTGGGGTACAAATTGGCCAGTGATAGGAGAGGCTTCTTGAAGGAAATGGTCATTGAGCTGAGCTATTCCCAAGCTGCGGAAAAGTTGTTTTTCACCTTAAACTGCTTCACCATCTTGCTTTACCAGGAGTTCTCGGTCTGAGTCACAAATCCTTGGTGGTTCTGTGTCATCCTTTCCTTCTGCTTAGAAGGGTGAGAACCCTCCTTCCTGCCAAGCTTGAGAACTCAGAATATCCTCCTGGTCTCAGGGAGAGAGACTGGGCTAACCCATCCTTTCTGAGGCTGTTGAAAGAGGAACTTGGCTTTCATACAAAGATGCTTTTGTGCCCAAGTATCACAATATCATCCTGTGAATTCCTGATTGCTTAGTTCAAAATATTCATGACAGACACGATTGGTTCCACACTCAACACCCATGACCTTTTCTTTATTAACACATCCTGAATTTGTTCAGCTTATGAGATATTTGGCTCATGGATACATCATGGTGTAAATCAGTCATGATAATCCTACACCCATTTGCTGCATACTTATTTTCACAAGTTCTTCTAATGACAGCCCCAAAAGGGATGGCTTAGCCCAGCATCCTTCTCAGGGACAGGAAGTTATTCTGAGTTCTTGAGCTTGGCAGGAAGATGGATCCTCACACTTCCAAGCAGGGGGAAAGGATGACAGAACCACTAGGATTTGTGATTCAGACCGAGAGAACACCTGGCAAAGTGAAATGGTGAAGGAATTGTCTTTGGTAACAAAGAGTGGACAGTGATGAAATTCTGGAATAGAGGAAATCTCCTCTGACACTTCCAGGATGTGGGAAGAGAGGCCCTTCCTTTCTTTAGATCCTTTCATGTGAAGATGGGATCCCAGAAGCTGCTACCACCACTTTGGGAAAATATGAGGA